TGCTGAGGTCCAGTTGTGAGGAGTTCCGTTTTATGCTGAGGTGTAATCCACACTGAAGGCTGTGGTCGTTCATCATCAGTAAGCGCTTCAAGTCCTTTTTGCTTTCAGCAAGCAAGACTGTGTCATCTGTGGGTTGTAGGTTGCTAATGAGTCTTCCTCCAATCCTGATGTCCTGTTCTTCATTTGGTCCAGCTTCTCGGATTACTTGCTCAGCATAGATTGAATAAGTATGGTGAAAGGATATAACCCTGATGCACACCTTTCCTGATTTTAAACCATACAGTATCCCGTTATTCTATTCGAACGACTGCCTCTTGGTCTATGTACAGGTTCCTCATGAGCACAATTAAGTGTTCTGGAATTCCCATTCTTTGCAATGTTATCCATAATTTGTGACGATCCACACAGTCAAATGCCTTTCCATAGTCAATAAAACACAGGTAAACATCTTTCTAGTATTCTCTGCTTTCAGCCAAGATCCACCTGTCATTAGCAATATCCCTTGTTCCATGTCCTCTTCTGAATCCAGCTTGAATTTCTGGCAGTTCCCTGTCAATGTATTGCTCCAACTGGTTTTGAATTATCTTCAGCAAAATTTTACTTAAGTGTGATATTAATGGTATTGAGATAATTTCCACATTGTTGGATCACTTTTCTTTGGAAAGGGCGTGAATATGGATCTCTTCCAATTGGCTGACCAGGTAGCTGTCTTCCAAATCTCTTGGCACAGATGAGTGAGCACTTTCAGTGCTGCATCCATTAGCTGAGACATCTCAGTGGGTGTTCTGTCAGTTCCTGGAGGCTCGTTTCTCACCAATACCTGCAGTGCAGCTTGCTCTTCTTCCTTCAGTACCGTCACATGGTTCCCGATCATATGCTGCCTCCTGAAATGGCTGAACATCAACAAATTCTTTTTCGTACATACCCATCACCTAGCCTCAACAATGATCAACATTTTGCCAACACTTGTTTTCCTTCTCCTTTTTATTAGATTTTAATGCAAATGCCAAACGTCATGTCATTTCACCGGTAAATATGTCAGAATGTTTTCTTAATAAGGACTTTTTAAAACCATAACCACCATATCATTACCACAAAATTGACAATAACTCCTTAATCCCATCTAATAGTCAGTCCACATTCGAATTCCCATGATTGTCTCAAAAACATCTTGTTACAGTTGGTTTACAGACCAGGGTCACCCCACCCGCCTGTGCTCGGTGTCTGGTCTCCTCTGCTGTACAACCTCCCCCACCTCCAGGCCAGCAATTCTGGCTGGGGAAAGGAGTCACTCATCCGGTAGCCCCGCCTGGCTGGACTTGGCTCTTGGCGTTTTTGAACTTGCCCCCTATTCCCTGTAAACTCATTTCCAATTCTATCATTCCACCTGCGTTTGTTGATGGAATTCTTAAAACAACAAAAACAATCTTTTTTTCCTTCACCAAACACCTGCGTAACCCGAGACACAGCTCACCAAGGACAGGAAGGGCCTATGCTTAGCCCCTCCTCGGTTCTCAGCATCCAGGCTGTGCCCTTGTGAGAGCCACTTGGCTGACCTTTATTTCTGGACAGTTCAGGACAAAGGGGTCACTTCTTCCTCATAAACCTCCCGTAGCAAACACAGCCTTCCCCCACTGCTTGAAGCACCAAATGTTCTGGCTTAGCTGCCCCACGTCTCAAGTGACGGCCACCAGACGTGTGGAAGGCCGGGCCCTCCTGCTCTTCTCAGTGGCTGCCCTGCCCAACCCGACCAGCTCCTCAGCACACCCACTGCCCACAGCGCTTTGGGGTTCCATGAGGCTCCTCTTCCCTAGAGGACAGGACGCACCCCCTGTGGCGGCTTAGCAGAGCTGCCACAGGCCGGGCAGTCTCAATGCTGAAAACTCAAGGGTGGTGGGAACCGCCCAGTCCTATGGGCCACACCAGGGCCTCTGGCCTCACTCTTCACCCAAACATCCCTGCCGCCGAGCCCAGAGTCAGAGAGATGGAAGTCCCGACAGCAAATAGCAGCAGCGTCACCTGCTGTTCTCCTGGCCAGGTGTCCTGACACAGCTCGCCATGGGCCACCCCACTGGACTCCTGTCTGCGGACCTGCCGGGGTCTGCACATAGGCCCCTGGGAGAAGGCCTTCCCGGATGCCGCATATCCCTAAGACGAACCAGAACAAGTCCTGGTGCTGTCTCATCAAAGGTCTGGCAGCCCAGAGTCGGCTTAAGTCCCTAAGTCCAGCCAGACTGGCAATGCTGCAGGTCTGTGGGCTGACGAATCCTCCCAGGAGTGCACTGAGACACGTGGTCCTCAGTCAGTGCACACAGGGGCCTCGACTCTGGCTGTGAGTAGGGCCGCGGGAACACCTTCTGCAGCACCTTCATTCACAACCTCTCCTTGCTCAGGTGGAGCTCGTGACGGCAGACCACACGTGGAGGGCGTGTGAGGGATGTCACTTCCTGTGCAAAACGGAGCTGCCTTGTCCAGAACACATCAATAAGAGGGAAGGCGGATGTCATGGACTGAATTGTGTCCCCAGAAAATCTGTCAACTTGGCTAGGCCGCGATTCCCAGTATTGAGTGATTGTCCACCATTCTGTCATCTGACGTGGTTTTCCTGTGTGTTATAAATCCTGCCTCTATGATGTTAACGAGATTAGGGGCAGTTATGTTAATGAGGCAGGGCTCAATCGACAAAATTAGGTTGTATCTTAAGCCAATCTCTTTTGAGATATAAAAGAGAGAAGCAAGCAGAGAGACAAGGGGACCTCACACCACTAAGAAAGCAGTGCTGGGAGCAGAGCGTGTCCTTTGGACCTGGGGTCCCTGAGCTGAGAAGCTCCTAGTCCAGGGGAAGATTGATGGCAAGGACTTTCCTCTAGAGGCGACAGAGAGAGCTGGAGCTGAAGCCTTGAATTTGGACTTGCAGCCTCCTAGGCTGTGGGGGAATAAACTTGTTTGCTGAAGCCATCCACTTGTGTTTCTGTTATGGTAGCACTAGAGCACTAAGACAGTGGGAGAGAAGACAAAAAATGGACAGAGAACGCATGGTGCTTGCACTTGGGGGGTCCCAGGCAAGGCGGCCATGGAGAGGCCAGGCTCCATCCTGACGGTGGGGAGGGGCACGGATTCAGAGCAGCTTCCTGGCACCTGAACCACAATGGGCTTCTGTGGATGCACACGGCCTCGATGCACCGCGGCAGTGCCTTTCCAGGGCGCTCGGGGACCAAGGGGCAGCCGCAGCCACTCCACTGGGTGCTCACAACCCCTTCCTCCTGCAAAACCCGTTTCCCGACTACTCTCCTGAGCTGCAAGGACTGAGGAGAGTCTCTCCAGGCAACGCCAGCCAAGGGCATTCACCCACCGTGCCGTCCCGAAGACCTACGGCCCACCTGAGAGCCCCAGGCCTGTGGGGCTGGCCCGGCGGGCACCTACACGTCCCCTCGCCTGTGGGTCCTCTGGTGCCGCGTGAAAAAGCCCAGGTGGCGGAAGCCCTTCCCGCAGAGGTCGCACGTGTAGGAGCGCTGGGCACGGTGCAGCTGCTGGTGGATGCTGAAGCCCTTGGGCCACCGGTAGGCCTTGCCGCACTCGGCGCAGGTGTAGGGCTTCTCGCCGCTGTGGACCCTGAGGTGGTGCGTGAGGTTCTCCTTGGTGCGGAAGGCCTTGCTGCAGGCGCCGCAGCGGAAGGGCCGCTCCCCGGTGTGCGCCAGCTGGTGCCGCAGCAGGTTCGAGCGCTGCTTGAAGGCCTTGCCGCAGGCGGCGCAGCGGTGGGGCCTGTGCTCCGAGTGCACCTTGCGGTGCTGCGTCAGCCGGTCCCTCAGGCGGAAGGCCCGGCCGCACTGCTCACAGCGGAAGGGCTTCTCGCGCGCGTGGCCGCGCTGGTGCCGCAGGAGGTTGGAGGCCCAGCGGAAGGCCCGGCCGCACTGGAAGCACTCGAGGGCCTTGGCGCCCGTGTGCACGGTCTCGTGGGTGACCAGCCGGCTATGGCTGCTCAAGACCTTCCCGCACGTGCCGCAAATGAACGCGTGCTCGCCTGCTCGACACCCACGCCGCCGCCCACACGCCGGACGCGGGAGGGCTGGGCGCCTGCCGGCCCCGCTCGCTGAGGTGGCTCCAGGAAGCTGCCGCCCGCGGCCCGAGCTCAGGACACAGTCCTTCGGGAACGCGACTGTCCCACGGGCTCCTTCCCGCACGGGGGGGCTCCCGGGTGGGGGCGACGGCGGGCCGCAGGGTCCTTCCTGCCGAGGTCTCCCGGTGCCTGCGGGGGACAGATGTGTGGGTCCGCCGACGGGCTGCGTCACCAGGGGGCACCCACAAAGCATGACGAAAAGCTACCCAATCTGTTGTCAACTAGCTCTGGTCCACGCAGGGCGTCCAGGCCGCAAACACGCACAGGCGTGAGACAAAAAATGTGTTCACAGAAACGCCTGGATGAGCTAAGACTAGACAGCGGCAAACTGAGAAGGAACTTAAACGGTCAGGCGGAGGAAGGCGGTTAAGGAATGCTAGTGTGAGTGACGGGGGGTAGTACCGGTGGTGGGTTTAAATGGCCCCATGGCATGTAGCCTCACCGTATAATGAAACAAGTACATACCTGTGTACAGACACGAGAACCCTCGTTAGAATAAGAAAACACATTGTCAACTTGCTGGCTCAGGAACAGGGCCCTGTGCAGGAACCTGGAGGGGAGGCCTGGGGCAGCCGTGTGGGACCCACTCACCTTCCCTCAGACTTGGGAGCTGCGGTCCTCCCCATCCTGGGGTCCCAGAGAATTCAGGGTCTCCCCGATTTGTCTTGTTCTCACACAGCTGCTCGATTTCTCTTCTAAGAGACTCTGAAATAAAGGACAAAACAGAGCCTGGCACTCGCTTTTCTCGACAGAGAGGGCAGCTGGAAGAGCAAGTCTAGCCGCTGGCGACTCCTGGTCACACCCGAGCAGGCTGAGGTCAGCAGAGGCGGGAAGACACGGTCACCGCCACAGTCCCCCGACTCTTGGGAGGGAGCCCAGCCACGTTCCCTGGAGCCTGCACCCTCTCTGGGCTATGTGGTGATGCAGGGACCCTCCTGCTCCTGCCTCCTGAGACCCAGAAACTTTCTGCAAGTGGCCACACCCCACAGTCCTCCAGGGCTGGGACCACAGCGGCACTTACCACCAGCTGGCCCCCACCACCTCTGGGCCCCAGGCTCCTCATCTGCACAGTGGGATATAACAGCGCCTCCCTTCAAGGGTGGCCGTGAGGATTAGGTGACGTAAAAAACTGAAGCTATAAGCCAGTGCGTGGGACCCCCACCACCATCATGACGGCCACTTCACTTAACTCGGGCAGCACCTTGAAGGGACGCGCTGTATCATCCCCATTTTACAGACGAGCAGACGGGCACACAGAGTCAAGGAGCCCACCCCAGACCACACACGCGGAGACACTCAGCAGGATCCAACCCAGGTGTGTCAGGCTCTGAGCTGTGCCGGGGACAGCCTGGTCAGGCATCAAACGCCCCCACATGCAGGGTCTCCACGGGACGAGCCTCTCTCCCTCGGCCCGCCACCCCGGTCACCTCCCCCACCTCTCTTACCCACCCCCCACTAGAAGGACTGTTGTCAGGCTGTGCTCAGAGCAGGCCCAGGGCCTCCACCTGTGCATCTCCCAGGGCCCCCTGCTCAGAGGTGGACACTCCCTCAGTCACCACCACGAAGGCTGCAGTGGCTGCACTCCACCGCTCTCTTCCAGAGCTGAGGACTGGGGACAAGTCCCAACAGATGCTCACCTGGGCTGGAGCCCCTCGGCCAGGCCAGAGCCTCAGATCTCTCCCACTTGTCGGCCCACGGCTCCACCCACTTCTCCAGGCACAAGACGAGCTGCGGCCGCAGCCCATGGAGCCCTTGCCAAGGGGAGAACACAGGCTACGGCACTTCCACAGGCACAGCAAGGCCGAGGGGCTCAGACTACCCTCAGGTCACCAGAGAATAAACGTCCAGAGGCCCAGGCAGCTCAGGGTCCCCCGAAGAAGATCCCCGCAGCAGAGATGACAGGAAGGGAGAAGGGAGTCAGTGCTAGAAGCCCTCGCTGCGAGCAGGCTAGCAGGTGGTAGAAGGAAAAGGCCCCGAAAGGTCCTGGCGGCACAGACTGGCCGCGTGAGCCTGACACAGGAGGTGGGCGACCCCAGGACGGCACGAGAGGAACGGGAGGACCACCCTGACAGCCTGGCGTGGTCCCGCGGGGCTCCCCAGACAGACAGGACCCACAGCCCTCACCCAGCGCAGCCAGGGTCCGGAAGTTCTCCAGCATCACGTCCTGGTATAGCACCCTCTGGCTGGGGTCTAGACATGCCCACTCTTCCTTGGAAAAGTGCACGGCCACGTCCTCGAAGGTCACCGGCTCCCGCAACACCTACAACACCAACAGCGCCAGCCGGGACCAAGGGTCAGAATGGCACACGAGATGGGGGAACCAGGAAGGGAAGGCTGAGCGCGCACAAGTCTGCGCAGGACGGGACACGGCAATGAGTGGGCTCAAGGAGTGGGATGTCAAGACGCCCGCGGACAGCGAATGCATTTCCACAATTGCTCTCTCCTGTAAACTGATCACGGTGTCTTTTCTCCCCTCTCCTCCAGGCCCCCAGGCAGGGCCCAGTCAGGGAGCCTCGGAAGCCACTGACGGACCCCTCACGACAGATCTGTGGGGGGTCGGGCACACGCAGCAGCCACGGGCTTACCTGGGGTACATCCATGGGGGAGTGACACCAAGGCGGCCAGACCCGCAGGCTGCCTCGGGAGCACCAATCTGGGGAGGCAAATGAAGTGAGTGAGAGCCGCCCCGGGGATGCTGGATGCTGGATGCTGGAGCCCACCCCACACAGTGACTCAGTCAATTCTGGGAACACCAGCTGCAGTCACAAACACACGCCCTGGTCTGCTCTGTAAGCCACTAACTCCCACCAATGGAAGAGAACTTTGGGTGTGGGGAGGGGCCAGGACCCCTGTGGGTAAACAAGGACCCTGGGCTCCCTGGGCTCCCTCCACACACACGCACAGGAGCACAGTGATGTTCCAGTCAGCAGCCACAGGCACCACTAAGTGACAGCTGAGACCAGCCATTTCCGGCTGAGAGCCAGAAGCGCAACCACAAGCAGGAGATGGAGCGTGTGGGCTGGAGCCCCTGCCAAGGCGGCTTCTCCTAGCACTACCCCTGCTTCAGGCTAGTTCCCACAAACAAGGCCACATCACAGCCTTCCCCCAAATCAAAATATGGTGCAGCCCCATGTTTGGAAACCCCAGGCTGCTTCTGAAAGATCACAGCCTTCAAAACCCATGGGGCACAGCTCTGCTCTGACACATGGGGTCACCATGAGTCGGAATGGACTCAGCAACTGCTTTCCGTTTTTGGTATGGGGTTCAAACGACAAGGCATCATGAGCGAAGGAAAAGGCAGGGGAATCCTGGAAGAGTTCCACTTATCCAGTCACCCTCCTGAGAGAATAACGGGAGAACTGTTTAGTGGGGGACAGTGAAAGAGCTCAGATTGGGACTTGGTGAGTTTTAGGAAGCTTTGGTGCTAACTGGAGCCCTGGTGGCATAGTGGTTAAGACCTCGGCTGCTAACCAAAAGGTCAACAGTTGGAATCCACCAGCCACTCCTTGTAAATCGTATGGGAAAGTTCTACTCTGTCCTATATAGTCTCTATGAGGCGGAATCGACTGGACAGCAACGAGTTTGGTTTTTGGTTTGGTGCTGGTTAGGCAGCGGGTATGTGTCTGGGTCCCACTACAGTCGTCCAGGCGGGAGACAGAGGATTTCGTCCGTGAATGACAGCTGAAGCCATGAACCATCGAGAGTCCATATCGAGGAGAAAACGGGGCACGCCCTACAAACCTGAAAACGTAAGGGCCAGGGAGAGAGGGCGAGCTGGAAAGACTAAAGAACAGCCCCAGAGTCAGACAGGGCGGAAGCGGCCTCCAGGTCGAATGCCCGACCTGCCATTACCCTCTGGAATCCTCCCAGCGCCTGAGGGCTCACGTGCTCTCTGGCAGCCGGGGCAGCCCACAGGTTGCAAACATCAAGTCTTCCAATCTCACCAGGTACTGAAAGAGGGAGAGGCAGAGGAGGGGTCCAGGACGGCTGTCTGGGGTGGGGGGCCCGGGGAAGACGGAGGGGGTGTCGTGGGCCCGGGGACACTCACCAGCTACGCTCTGCCCGGCAAGCCTCCAGCCGAGGTTCCCAGCGCAAACCCCGCCGCGTCGGCGCCTAGGACTTTTACAAACTTCCCGAGCGGAAGTTGTTCTCCTGCCACCGGAAGCAGCGCTCCCGGCCACTCTAGGAGGCCGCGTCTCGGTGGTGCGCGCGCAGGCCTCCCGGCGGGGCGGGGCGGGGCGGG